CCCCCCTTTTCCCCCCAAAAAAAAACACAAGCCCGAATCCTACTTTGACAACTTCACCTACCAACTCCGCAATCGTTTAACCTCCAGAAGACCCCCAACCATCACTTCTCCCCTTTGACTACCTTTTAACAATTCTTTTCAGGCTCCCTGACCCCTTCTTCTCCTCCTTCATACATCCTCTTCGGTGATGTTTTGTATCTCACTTCCCTTACTTGCTTTAGGTCCCCCGTCCCCCTTCCATCTCTATCCCTTCTCATCCTCTTCTAGTTGCCCTCTCCAACCTACCTTCAAAATCTAAACCGCTGCTTGTGTCAAAGCTCAATCATTCTTGTATTTCTATCAACATTTGACAAATCCTATTAAAGTCACTGCAATTACTACAACTAACCAACATGCTGAAAGACTGTCATTCTAGAAATCATTTTTCTTTCCAATTAATTTATTCTTTTTGATCTGCATGTTTGTAAATAGCCGAGGGTCTATTGGAAACAGCTACTCTACCTCCTCGAGTTAGGGGTAAGGTGTACATATTACCCTCCCCAAACCCCATCTGGAAATTACATTGTTGTTGTTGTTGTAATTTGCATGTCTGGTCAAATGAAAATCCATCTTGTGACTTTTTTGTCGGGGTTCTGGAACTACAAAACAAAAGTTTATTACTTTTTAAATAATCAGGGGACGCTTCAGAGTTATTATAATGGAGTTCCTTCCTTTCATTTTCACTGGTTGGATTAGGACTAGTTGGGGGAATCTTAGTAGCTTAGTTGATTGGCTACCTAAACATTCACCTTGTTTGGTGAAGGTTCGATTTCATACCTTGTAATACCCTCCTCTATTTCCCCTTCTTCTTCTCCTTCCCCTACACCCAAATTGTTTTTAAAAAAAAAATAGGACTGGTTGGGGAGAGATGTGTACACTGGTAGAGCTAAGGCCAAAATAGTGCAAAATGTTCTTTCTTTCCTTTTTGTGTGTGTGTGTGTTTGGTTGGGTATTTTGTGTGTGTGTG